TGTTTGTCTTCTAGTGCTTGTTTAGGAATTCTGGACAGGTTCTTCAATTTTTAGAGATTCAGACTTTGTCTTCGAGTCATTTGTTCTTGAATCAGCATAATTATCTTCAATCTAGCCGTTGAAAATCAAGAGATTGATTTTTCCTTACCAACGGGTAGAATTTCTTCATTCAAGACTTAGATAATTTTCTAAGTCTTTTCTCACTTGTCCGTTTTTTGAGAATTCCGGTCTTCCTTGAGGCATCCGGTTCTTAGCTGACAAATCCGGAGAAGTCATTCTCAGACTTCCGGGTGAGAGAGAGATCCGCGCTAGTCTTCCGATTTGGGTGACTTAGCCTTCAGCGGGTTGTAGCGAGACATCCGGTTCTTATGTAGTCTTCCGGAACAGAGGATTTTCATCTGCTTGAGAAATCCTTACTTGTCTCTAGCTTTTCCGATCAAGATATCCAATTTTCATATCACTGAATTTGATTAAGTCTTCAGGCATCAAAAACGCTAAATGAAATATCACAACCTTATTGGAAAACTCAAGAACTTGGTTTTAACAATATTTCTAAAAAGAAAAATTACATTGAATATTGGGGGAGACCTAAAGTCCCTATTACATTCTAAATACATCATCATCAAAATCTATGATATTTTCCCAACAAGTAACTAACGTATTCCTCTTTTATTACTTGGGTATGAAATACTTACAGTCTAAATTCATCATCTTCATACTCTGGCCAGCTACCATATCCACTGTGCATTGATGTAAAAAGTTGACCACAATTACTAAACCATATTTGCAGTTGAATATAAAATACCATATTTGCTTGTCGCGTTCCAAGCCCTTCTCGCTAAAACTAAAGAAAACCCCCTAAATAAGAGTAAAACATGGTTCATATTCCAAAATAGTACTTCAAACTTAAACTCCTCTAAATAGGAGTTAAATTAGGAAAATATAAAATCAAACCACACCCCCCAATTCTCAATCTGACACTATGCTCAACGACAACTCTCTTCTTCACTGCCAACCCCCAAAAGAGGGAGACGATTCTTCTTCTTCTACACCTGTACAAACCCCTCGTCTTTAGTGTCAAAATTTTCACCTATCTACACCACAATTATTTGGCAAGTAACTTGCACCTAGCACGCCTGATGGTTATAAACCACCGAGAGTATGAAATAATATAAATTTTAGAGAGAGAGAGAATGCAAAGTAGGAGTCTATTGATTCAAATTCGGATCCATTACAATGAGAGGTGCCACCCCTTTTATAGGGGGTACAATACACTAAGTCAAAGCCCTCTGATCGAGGCTCGTCGTTTAGCAGACGCCACCTGTCCTTAGGTCTTGTCCCTTTCATCCTATCGCTTTCATCAAGTCTTCGTTGAACGTCGCTTTCCTCACGTCGTTGTCGCGGGGTTCGGGCTCGGCTTGGTTGGCCGAGCCGAGCAGGAGAGACGAGCGGAGCGCATGGCCGGGCAGGAAGACGAGCGGAGCTCTGAGCCGGGCAGGAAGACGAGCGGAGCTCTGGACCGGGCAGGAATGTCCAAGCCCGATACCTAGGAAATTTATGCTACGTGGGGTTATTCCCCATCAGAAGCCCCCCACTCTCTGGGTTCCGGGGCATTTAGCAGCGGAGCGCGTGAGAGTAGACAACACTGTAG